CTCAAATTTATAATACGTGATAAAAATAATTACAAACATAAATACAAAAAAAATTATTTATAAATTTACTACTAAACTTATAAAATTCTTTCAAATATAAACCTCGTGTTTTTATTTTACAAACTAGATTCACCAAAACAACCTTGATTTTGCAAAGATCTTACAAAGTCATTACAAAATCAAATTTCTTAAATTTCATGCTCAAAAAAAATTTATAAAGTCTTCTTTCAAATTCTACTATTTGATTTATAAAAGAACTCCTTGAGTCATTATAAATGTGAGGTTTTGTCCTTTGGGATCTGATTTTGATCTTGATTGGCAATTGGTCTTTTTTAGATATCAATTCTTTTTTTTGTGAGGTAATTTTTGCTAAAATCGACTCCTAACTCCCATGTGCAAATACTTATTTTCTTTAATTTTCTAATCTATCTTATTTTGCCTTATTTATGGCCCTATAAAATAAATAGAAGCCTACTTTATAAAAAGGTAGAATTTGCACTTTTAGTTTTACTATCTTTTGATTATTATCTATATTTCTAAGATAATTTGCTATAATATTTTGAATTAATATATTTTATAATATAATATTTATTTTATTCTTTCACCTATTAGCCATAATACATCATGACACAATTCTTCATAGAATTCATTTTTACAATGAAGAATACTATCATGGACATATTTATTTATTCTAATATTAATTTAAATAATATGAATAGATAGAAGTAGATAAAAATAGATTAATTTCATAATATCTTATAGATAAGCTTTCTAAAAGCTTCATAAATATATTTTTGTCTCTATACATGTCCATAGATAATTGATAGATTAGATACTTGATCAACAAGTTAATCATATATCGCACAAGTTGGTAGCTTGTACTATAATCTAAAGATATAGTGCACATATATGAAACTTGTCTTACAAGTTAAGACATGAGTTTTATAAATTGTATACATATTAGACATCCTATAGAACATCACCATATAGCTTCTAGTTAGATAGTATATATGGATGCAATAGTGAAGACTTCTTCACTCTTCTCAATGCCTTTCTAGTCTTTAATCTTATTTCAAGACTTTCTAATATTTTTGTCTTTAGCAATAGTCATTCTAGTTTCAATACTATATTATTTTGGAGTGCATACATATTCTTTTTGAATTACACAAGAATGTATTAAAATTTTGGTTCTTCGAGATTCATGCCTTTAATCTGAAAATATGAAAGGTAATTAGAGAAGGTGGAAGAGTAGCAAAGTAGCAAATGTAATGGCTATAATAGCTAATATTATTAAAAGGGATTTTGAAGTGGTTCCATCATTTAATCCTCTTCTTCATGAAAAATATCTCTACTTGCTTGGTTAAGTTTGTAATGGCACAGATCATGTAATATCTCATAGAAATAGAAGGTTAACAATTATAATGTACTAGACATATGACAAAGCCTAATTTTGGAGAAAGCTTCATGATGCTAACTACAAATGAATTCCAATAGACCTTTGTATAAGAATCTACATCCTTGAACTTTAACTTCCACCATCACATTATTACTATGATGTATGACTTCATGCTTATTCTATGAGAGTAGTGCCAAAACAATCAACTAAATTAAATCATTTTCTCTATATAAAAAGCAAATGCAGGAAGAATCAAGCTGTAATCCAAAGGTTTTTTTCAGCTTGAAAGTTACACAATTGCATTGTCCTTCATGCAAGATCCACACTCTATAATCTTAGATCCTTGCGCACAAAGCAATTGATAGTGAATTTTGCCAAAAGAATGATTGATAGTATTATTAATCGATTCTGGACTATTAAGTTCACAATATGATTGTTGTTCCAAAAAGAAAAATAAAATAAAATAAAACAAACAAATAAAAAACAAAATACTCTTTGCAAGCTGAAAATGTGAAGTATTTAGACACCAATTGATCTATCAAGATAGCAGCACCATGCAGCTCTAAAGCTCTATAATTTGCATTGCCTCAACTTATCTTTGACTTATACAACAAAATCAACATTATACTTGACAACTTGTACTCTTCTTTCAATGGCAATTCCTTCTAACATGAGCTTCCAATATTATCGCCAAAATTTCAAGGATAGAAAGATACAACCACCTGATATAGCCTTTATACACTTTTGAACTAGTAATCATATATAAGGAAAAATAATAATAATAATAAAAAATTAAAAAAATTAAAATAAGTAATAGCATCCTTGATATATCCATTATTCAAAGATCAATGAAAACATTCTCCACTTAGTGCCATACTAACAATTTTGTTGATTTGAAGCTCACCTCAATGCTCACAAAAAATACAGTGTATTACACTGTGGCATCTCAACAAAACAAGGCTCATCTACAAGAAGGCTCATCTACAATAAGGTGACCTTATGAAAAGAAAAGAAAATCAAGGAAGATTGTAAGACTCAAAGCCCAAATTCAATACAAAAAATAAAATCAGAACAAAAAAAATAAAAATAAAAATAAAAATTGATCTAGAGAAGTTCGGACCCTTATTAACAACCCTTATCAACTAATATGAGGTCCTTATTTCAGCCTCATTTGCTTAGATGTTATACCTAATCTTTGGCCGTCTATACATGTAATATAATATTGTGATACAATACCTACAATACTTGGTACATATCCATGGCCATATAATCTAGTGTATATTAGACCCAAAATCTATTGTATTCTCTATCATGTATTCTATGATAAATCCTATCATATTATATAGTTTTTATACCATACTCTTATGATATTAGTACCATGTTCAGCACTATATTCAATTCTATTGTATCCCTATCTATACAAAATCCACTACATATCTAATATCTATTATGTATTCCATTAATATACATCTATAGTAGATTGTATTTGAACCATATCTGGTTATATATACACCTTCAAGTTAATATAATAGAAATAAAGATCTTTAAGAATGACATGATCTTTCTTGAATAGATAGAAAAATATAATGCGTTTGATATCACAATCTTGGAAGAAACTTCCAATGTTTGGTGATTTTATTGGAGATAGGAATGATTCTTAATGGTATAACAAATATTTTGTTTGAAAGAAGTTACAAAGACCTCAACAATAATTAAATATTAAGGTAATTTTTTTGCCTTGTAATGGAATACTATTGATGATTGAGAGGACTTATTAACTACTTTGAAAAGCAACAAGGATCAAAGTATATAGTAAATATAATTTGTGACATCTTGGACTTCCTCAACATATGATTATCACTCCTCATGGAACTTGTCCTTAGAATGGAGGGATAATATTATAAACATACATGTTTATTTCAATAATTACCTAAATAACATGAATAGATTGAAGTATGTAAAAATAGATAAACTTGATAATATCTTGTAGAGAAGCTTTATAGATGCAATTTCACCTTTATATGTATCTTTAGGTGACTGATAGGTTAAAAACTTTGCCACCAATTTGCCACATGTTGCATATATTGGTAACTTATAATATAAGTTAACCATGTAGCACAAATATATAATATTTCTCTTGCAAGTTAGAGACGTAGCATGTGAATTGGACATGTGTCAAAGGTCTTATAAAGTGTCATCATATAGTTCCTATATATATATATATATATATATATATATAAAGAGAGAGAGAGAGAGAGAGAGAGAGAGAGAAGCCTTCTTCACTCTTGCTTCTAGTCTAGTTTCAAAAGTCTTTAAATTTCTAGTCTTTAAATTTCTAGTCTTTGGCAATAGCCATTCTAATTTCTTCTTGAATATACATATTTTTTTGTTTCTATATTGTCATCTCTCTTTGATGTATATTTCACTTGTTTATGTATCTTCTTTGAATTCTTGTCCTTCATAGAGAGATGATATTAATGAGACAAAGTTGAAATACTTAAGCTTGAATTAGTTTAATATATATCATAATCAATAGCCAAGGCATTTTTAGTTTGAGTTGAGAATCTTGTCTATATGAGAGATTCATATCTTTTGTGTACACCATGATCTCTATTATTTGCAATTTACCAAGAGTTCTAAAAATTAATATATGATTATTTGCTATCTATAAAGAATTTAAAAAATTAACATATCTTTACATGATGTACTTGTAGTTCAATACTCAATGGATGTAGTTGGATATGCAATAAATAGAGGTACAATCTATTAATAGACAGATCCTTTTGAACGTAAACTCAAAAAATACCTTTATTCAAACATGTAAATTTAGAAGTAATTCTATCAAAATGACTTAAAGCTACTTTTATTCTTATATGTGACTAATAGACCAATGAACTTGGTTACACATTCTCAAAAACCTGACAGAAAGTATCTATATAAGTTTAACAGCTTTATTGACTAATTTCTACTCGAGCACCACAGAAACAATTTAAGTTCAAAGAAGCTTGAAGACATCACAGGTGCACATCTTTCACAGAATGGGATACTGATTTAACAATTGTTTTTCCCACACATAGACTCATGGTTTTTAGATCTACAATGCTAAGATGGCTAATCATAAACATCCTTTGAGTACATTGAATTTTAGAATTAATGATTGTGTAATACAGGAGTTTCGAGTAACAAACTGTACAATTTTTCTAGTATTCTAACACATTTTGTGGTTTATATACACCTTATCCAAAGACTTTTTTATCCTAACTCAGGCATAAACTAGTAAATGATCTGTGAACGATGTGTTATTTGGTTCTGGGTTCAAGTATCCTCACTCAGACTAATTCCTTCATTGCCTTCGGCTACACTGGGACTTCATCACAGTTTGAATACTACATAAGAAGCATAGCTGTATGTACGTTTCCAGTGATCCTGCTTAAGACTACGTGAACAATTTCACAGCTACTGGGTGTCTCTGCTACTTGACGTAGTTGTAAGATGAATGCACCAATCTGTAAACTAGATTGACTAGATCTCCGAAATAAATAGATTTCACATTAGAAAGCCTCGATGTACTTTCTTCAGTGTTAAAAGCATTCAAACAGGGGACTCTGAGTAACTCGCATTTTTCATTTGCAAACCTTGCAGGAATACAGGTTTCAAATCTTTCGGAAACCAATAACTGAGCTTATCAAAAAAGAAAGTGAGGGGAAGAAAAGACGTCACTAAGCCGGAAATGGAACGAAGCCTTTAGATTAAGATGATTACAAAATTGAACAGAAAATTTATATGATACCGATCTTGTTGGCCACATCAAGCGCATCATAATCTGCTGTCAGTCTCACGTAAGCCTTCTTGGCTCCATCAGGCCTGAGAAAATAGATAAATTTGACCACATTAGAAATTTCACATCCTAGAGAGGAATGGGAACAGGTGATATCAAATCAATACGAAATCCCAAAAAAAATTACGAAATGAACATCCATGTTGATCATGTTGGTACTAGACCTAAAACCTAATTTCTGACATACACTGCTAGATCATGTAGTCATATTTATGCATTTTAGGAGAAATGCTAACTTCTACATCGAGAAACTATGCTTAAGACATATTGCTACTCATTTACTACTATCAAATCTGAAATAAAACACCTAATATAGCATGATCGGCACAATCATTTTAGGATCAAGATTGCTCTTTTAAGTTCGACTCCCGTAATTGAAGGAAAGTTACCTTTCTCAAAAAACAAAAACAAAGACAAAGAAAACAAAAAACAAAAAGGACGAACAAATTATGACCTAAACATACAATGCTAATGGCACGCTGAAATCACAACAGTAAGAATAAAAAACAAGGGATTTAGACTTGATATTACCGAAATGTGCAGAGAGTTGTATAAAGAACATGCAGCAAGTGATTCCACAAAGGAAGAACCTCAATCGTCTCACAGAGAAGAAAAATCAGCTCAAACAGAGAGCCGCATTGTAGAGATAAAAACAACAAGAATGCTCATGATTGTAATACTTCCAGTGTAAACAAAACAACATAGCTTCACAATGGGCCTCAAAGTCACAAATCGTCACAAGCCAAGAAAATCTGGAGCTACACAACACGACGCAATTGCAAAAACCCAGTTTCCCAAACCCTAGAGTGTTGCCCCGAGAAATAAAGCATGGGAAAACATAATCACCTGATCAAAGTATTGACCTTCTTGGTCTGAATGTCGTACATCTTCTTGACGGCCTCTTTGATCTTCTTCTTGTCGGCGCGCACATCCACGATGAAAACCAAAGTGTTGTTGTCCTCAATCTTCTTCATCGCGGACTCCGTGGTGAGTGGGTACTTGAGCACCTCGTAGTGGTCGAGCTTGTTACGGTTGGGTGCGCTAAGGCGAGGGTACTTGGGCGCTCTGGCGCGCTTGAGGGTCTTGGGACGATGGAACGTAACAGAGGTGCGCACCTTCCTCCATAGCTTCTTCACCGGCTTGGTGGTAGTCTTGAGCGCTTTCGCAGCCTTCGATGCCTTCGTCGCCTGCGGGTTGGCAACCTTCAAAGGAGGAGCCATAGCTGGAGTCGGAGACAACAATGAGGGGAGCTCGATGGAGCAGCCTCGGAGCAAAATCAAATGCCCTCGAAGCAGAGTTAGGGGTTTACAAAACCCATGAACGGGGCATTACTCTTCTATTCATTCATGCAGTTCATCCCTACTAACGACGTCATTCATCCGTCACTTCCTCAAACCTGCTTTGGTGCCTTCAATATTTGCTAATATAAGGAAATAAATAAAGCTGGAAATCAATCTTCGATGAAATTAACTCTATTTAGCGTCGAGTGTTTCATGTAATTCCGCTCTTACAACATCATTTATAGGCATTAACTTCACAGCTTGTGTGCAACTTGATAGAAGGTCTGTTTAAGAAAATAGGATAAAGCACTTTACATAATTTTAAATGAGAAAATACTATTGAGGTGAATTGAATAATAATGATGAACTATTAGCATGAAAAATGAGGGAATGAGTTTGAACATGGATGAATAATAGAAAGTAAAAGAGAAAAATGAAGTCGTAAGTTTTAGCCAGAAACTTGATTTAACATTTAAAAATCATGCACAGTTTATTTTCTAAAAAGTATGTTGATGTTTGGGTTTGTGCATATATATATATATATATATATATATGCACGTAAATCTTTTCTCATTTCTGATAAATGAGACCCAATGTGAAATCAGAATTTTAATAGCAACACATAAATATCCTATTCTATTTAAATTGGTCTCTTAAAAAATAATTGAACAAAAAATGACTTTTTAAAAAGTTACAAATTGAAACAATTCTTCAAAAAATTGGAAGAATATTTTTGCATTTTATACAAAATATTTGACTTCCAATTAAAAGTACAAACGTTGTTGTTAATACAAGAGTGATATGAAGTAGAATTAGATGAATTTTCTGTAAATTGTATTGCTACATTCAAAATTTTACTGTGACAAAACAAACCACCATGCATCGAAATGTTGAAGCAATGCCATTTTTTTTTTTTTAAACCAACCCTAAAAATTATGTTGTACAAGACATTAATGAATGAATGAATAATAAGTTTAAGATAATAGTTTTAATAGACCCTATTTATAAGTTCAGTTATAATTTAAGTAATTAGTTTATTACCTATCTCTTACAACATTGCTATCAAATTATTAAGAAAAACTAGTCCAAATTACAAAAGAAAAAGAAAAAAGAAAAAAGAAAAAGAGACAATAAGCTTCATGCTCTCTTATTTTCTTAATAATAACCGTTTCTTTTAATAATTCATAGTTATTCCCAATATCTCCAACACATGGTAATTTTATGTTTTATAGATTTGTTATGATACAGATTATGTTTTATTGTCTCCTTTATTGAGATGCTACAAGTGTCACTTACAATTGAGCAATCTCACTTGTCATTCTATATATATTCAAGCCTTAAAAGGGATTTTCCCAACAAATTAATATCTTAAGAATGAAAACTTAAACTAAAAAAATCATAACAATGTACACCATTTATTTAAATAAAGGCATTTAACCTTATGAATTCTTTCTGATTATTTATATGATACAATAATAAGTCATTCAATTAATAATAGGTGTTATTTGGTATTCTTAAATGTGTTTATCTATGAAAATCAAAAAGCAGATTATTATTAATATTACTGTCATTAATACTTCTTGCAGGGTTACAAGGCAATGATAACATTTGATAAAAAATACTACACTTAGTGCTAATATAGATATATATATATATAGACATAGAAGTGCATGGCTCACGAAATTTTATTAAAACATGCTAGAAATTGTGTATATTTATACACATGCATTTATATACACAGATGAATAGTTTTATTTTTTTATCCACCGTTTTCTGAATAGTTTTCGAGAATCTGTGTGCAGTATGTTTGTGTTTATATAACACCAATAATAATAATAATCTCTATTCTACTACTAACTCACAATCAAATATTAATAATTGTATAGTACTTTCATATTCTCCAATCAAATATATTTACACCAATGTGTCAATCTACTCTTTTTTTTGAAATTTAGGAATTTAAGCAAATCGTTCTCAAAAACCAAATATTATTAATGCTTACAACTCGATTCAACATCCTACCTTAGAGGTACTTTTCATTCTTCAGAATAGCATGTTTCTAGTCAGAGAAAAGGAAATATCGGCACAGTTATAATTGATTGCTTTAATGACTCGCACGCCGACATTGGCACTGGTACAATAATAATCTCATAGCAAACGATGTTCGGCTTGTTATCATTGCTTTCCAAAATCCATTGTACAGCTGCCTCAGTATGGACCGATGAGGGGAAATATCTAAATTCATGCATTGCAAAAGCTTATCCTACAGTAACTCGAGCAGGTTTTGGTTCATGACACGATACTTCGGGAGGAGGAATCGAGAACTAGCAAGCTCGACCTGGAATTGCAAGACGCACTCAACCTTTACGTGCATAGCAACTATGAATGGAAGGTTTCTGAGACGAATTACGGCCATGTCGACACTGAAATTGCACTAGTGTCTTACCGAAATTAAGAACCCCTACTAGTGACAACACAGATCGAGGAATTTGGGAAGAAAGCGAGAACGTGTTTGTTTAAATTTCATGTTTATTCACTGTAACTGTAATGTAACTAGCATACAAAGTGGATACATCGCTGATACATGAATATCGATTTCGACAAGTCGAGGCTTGAAGAATCTAGTTAGGCCGAGCAACCAGGAACCCGCAGATTTGCACCTGCTTCACGTTGTCAAAACCCAACACGCGGACGAAGCAGCCGGGGAAGGTCTTCTTGCACTCCTCAATCTCCCTCAAGACTTGAGCGGAGTCTTGGCATCCGAACATGGGCAGCTTCCACATGGTCCAGTAACGACCATCGTAGTAGCCTGGGCTGGAGTTGTTGGTACGAGATACTCCGTTGGCGTTCTGCTCTTACACCACACCACTCGTCAGGAGATGGTAGCTTAAATCAGAACTTCTAGCAAATGCTAAGAGGGTTGCGTTTTTATTTTCTTCAAATTGCAAACTGTAGAAAAAAAACGCACCCGACAGAGAGACATTGCTCACACATCTTCACCTCAGTGATAACTCAAAAATCTAAACAACGAGTCCTTACAGAGGGCTTTTAACCTAGGTTTCGACAAAGAAATTATGCCGAGATTCAAGTAAATCGCGCGGAGTTCAAGCAAAAGGCTTACCACGTCGAACTCGAGGCAGGGGATAAGCTTCTGCTGGATCATGTACTCCACCTGCTTGGCGATGGCATCGTCAGAAAGTGGGGGCAAGTATGAGAAGGTCTCGAACTTGGTCATGCCAATGGGGTTCCACACCTGCATGCACTGCACACGGCTGCGGTTCTGGACTGAGCTCAATGTCTGGGCCTTGGAGGTGAAGAGAGTGGCGCTCTTGAGACCGGAGAAAGCCTTCACGGAGGTGGAGTCAGCAGAGCCAACCGAGGCGGAGGCTGCAGCAAAGGCAGCAGGGGCCACAATGGTGGAGGCAGCAACTACGGACGCCATTGCAAGAGACTGTTTCCTTGAATGCAACTGGCTAATTGATGCGCGGAGGTGCGAACTGAGGTGAATTGTGCGGAGAAGTCACTTCTAAAATCGAAGGAGGGACTCAGAACCCACACCCCGGCACGCTGGATCGACCGTCTCAGGAAGATAAGGACCCGAATTTTTTTTAATAAATTTTTTAAGCTAGGGAAAATTCGCATCACATCATCCTGGGCATGGCCATCTGGGTTTCTCAGCCATCGATTCTGTTATCTAAGAAATAGATTCTATCTCTACATGGTAAGTCTATTCTTCACTTTGTCTGTTTTCACTCGTTATCACACAACTGGACTTTCTACCCACTGGAATTGCTCCCCCCAATGCTTCCCACGTGTCTTATTAAGCAACAAAGCTAACTCTGGAAAAAATATATGGGGCCTACCAGACGGCAAATCACTATTGGTACTGTGTCCGAATTTAACCTTAACCACAGCAATGTTTCACTGATCCGCCAGTTTAATTTGAGCTAGGTAACCTTCAATTAATTGAGTGACGTTGCCCTTTTTCAAGAAGAAGCTCGGGACAAAATTACTATGGCTATCAAAGTTATGGCAACAGGGAGTTCTTCATGCTGGTCAAGTTTTCTCATGGACTCCAGAGTCCACAACAAGTTTAGATCTCACACGTCGATTTTGGCAGTATGGCGCGAACAAGAGGCACTTATTACTAGTTCTGTTCGGAAATTGGATGTTGATTTTCTATTTTACTTATATTTTTCCGAAAGAGAGATTGCACTCAGTCCAAGCGTTTAGAGCTCATATCTTTATGTTCTTCCTAGAACAATTTTTTTACTTCCCTTCCAGAAACATTTTCGATTCTCTTCTTTGTCTCATCCGTTAGGAAATAAAATACACTGTAACAATTTCGTGTTTTAAGTCCTGCAACGCTTACCTTGATTATCTTCCAGATGCACCATCCAGATGCTTTAAGCAGAGGCAATTAGGTTTTGCATTAACTGTGGCGATTGTCTCACACGCATCTGTGTTAAGCGAGTTAAAACCTCTCAACAATCATTAAGTGTTGTTGAGCATTGGCAAACCTGGTGTACAATGGAGAGTGGCGATACTTGGTTCGTTAAATACAGTGTACACAATACCAAGAAACTTGAAGCTTTATGTTGAGGTTCGACATATTCCTCGTACACTAGTTTCTCTGCTGCATCGCATACAAGTACGCCTTCTAAATTTGGGTCTTTGCATTAGCTGTAAATGTGTCTTCCTCATTTCCTTTCACAATTCAAACACTACTTTTATTTTCTTAATGAGTTGGGTTTGGTACTGCTTTCGTTACGTAGAATACCCTCATTCAGTTTCGCAATTGCGATGGACGAATTGCTACCGAAGGAGCAAAGCAGAAATTTACTAAAAGAAGTCAAATTTTAGAAAGCTCTAACACTGCAGAACAAATAGCCCACAATCTATATCATGTCAACAACGTTCGCAAGCAACACGAAGAAAAATACACTGTTACACACGAAATACATTCCTCAGGTTGGCCATTCAGAGCAAACCCAGTTACAAATATTATAAACAGGACAGGCCATATAAGATTATGAGTGGACTATCAATAAATAGAAGAGAATGTGCCCATGGTATTCACTCATTCGCAACTCAGCGTGGATTATAGTGCAATGAACTAGCACGGAACACAAGATAAGGGACAAATGCTTCTCATACAGCTAGAAGATTACTTCTTCTCCTCCTTCTCAGCCTGCTCGGCCTTCTTCTTCCGGACACCAACCAACCTCTCGTTCATCCTTTCCTGTCGCAGCTTGTAGTATCCCATTTGTGCCTTCATCTCATCAGTGATGGACACAATCTCAGCCGACGGCCTTGACTTCACAATCGGCAAAACATCACCAGTGACCTGAGTCACGCTAGACAACTCTTCGGCAGATGCATCTCCGGCCTGCGAAAGTACACAAAACAAGAATGTACATGAAGACTATGTCCAAATTACAAAACAAAAGAAAATAAGAAGAAAAACCGCAATACAAAACATTAAAGAGATTATTTGATCAAACGTCTATTCCCTCTGATCAAACCATTCAATAAATCACCTATGCAGCCCTACATTCACAGAGGTAACTGGTGTCGAAATTCTAAATTTTAAACACGAAGATTGCATGCTAACAGGTTGCATCGCTTTCCCTTCGACTGAGGATTATTACAGTAATACGCGTCCGACATTCCAACTGAACTAAATTACATATTTCTCTTGTAAAAAGAAATACCTTAGTCTTCTTCGAGCGCCTTGGGAAAACCACCAGCTTAGCCCTGTACATGTTCAGCCGGTTCACATTCTCCTGAAGGCTCTCCAAGCATCGGTTCTTGCGTCTGTGATCAACAGCAATACCAATTGTAGGGGCAAGTTTCTTGGGGATTCCAGCAGCCTGAGACCAACAAAGAAGTATTAGTCCATGCACCGGAGTGGAACCAGACATTCGTTCAAGCCCTTTATCTGTAACTAATGGCTTTCCGCCATGTAAGTGCAAATCACAACTAATCCATTGCGCAACCAAACAGAAGTGGTGTCAATGATAAAATCCTATACTGAGGTCAAAGGAATTCATACCTTCAACTCCTCCAAAGTAAAACCGCGTCCAGCACGAATCTTGGCGTTATACCTCAAGGTTTGAGAGTGCACCACGGGACGTAAAGGTCCAGCAGTTGGTCGGGGAAAGACGGCAACGGCTTTCCTCTGGCGGGCTGCACATACAGATCGTTTCATCTGAATTAAAAGCTTAAACAAAAGGAATCGTTCGATGATAAATCGTCTTCTCTGAACCTCGCGGAAGTGTTACCCATTGCTAAGCTCATCAACATTACGAGTACCAAAGAGATCATGAAGGATGCAGATGAGCCCACACTTGAAACTTCCTCAACCAAGTTAAGCTCGGCAAAGCGAATTAAACATCACCCCACACTGTATCGAATGAACGTCTAACACGTTGTATCGAGCAACTCCATGATCAATCTCGCAAATGCAACAGTATTCTCCAACAAACCTTCACGAGACTAGGAATCTAGTAGAGTTCGAAACTTGGTTCGAGTTATAAGAAACACATGGACAAGAACTGTGTTCCAAAAAACGCCCGTACCACCGTCATAAAAACAAAACTTCACAGAAAAGCACGACAATACCCGTTCTTCTTCTCTTCTTGCGTGCGGGCTGGTTGAACCAGGTCCTCACATAGTTCTGCCAGTCCTTCTTGAAGTGACCGTTGGGGATGACATTGTTATGCTTCACCATGATTCTGGTCCTACGTTTTTCACGACAAGCAGTTTAGTGGGCATGAAAAACTAAACAAACCTAAGTCGCCTTCAGCTCCGAAGCTGAGCTCCAGCTGAATTCTCCTGAAAGAAATGAGTCTTACAGCACGATCCCCAGCCACAACCTTACGCAGCTGTGCAATGCAAAGGAAAGCAAGCCAGCATACCTCCGAGAAGCACGAGGTCGAGGGGCACGAAGCTGGCAATAGAGGCCGTGAAAGAGAGATTGACGCAACAGACCATGGTCTTAGAGCTCCAAACCCTAACATGGACGGCTTCGATTGAGTCCGATCCAACGGTAGGCATCTCATGTTCTCTCGTCCCTCTTTTTTGGTCGCGGGTTTGCTTGAATAGTAAGGAGGATGTTCACAAGTTGGGCACGTCTCGTTCTAACGCTCTCTTACCTTTGAAATAGTGCCAATGGATGATCAGTAATTATACTAAGAATTTATTCTTATTTAATATGTTTTCACAGAACTTGTCATCCTTGCTCTTCAACCTCAGTGTATCAATATCTTCATCACCTTGTTAATCAAGTTTGCAGATGTGACCTTAAATTGTAACCATCTACAGTGTTTATTTCTGATTATCTAATGAAAATAAAAATAAATAATAATAATTTATATGTTGAATTTTTATTTGAGCATTAATTTCAGGTGGATTTTGATTTTTCAAGAATAAAATTTTAAAATTATACATTGTATCACCATACATACAGTGATAATAATTAATAATACAATCATTTATAATTATGAAATAAACATTGTCTTATTTTAGTTGAATTAGCACAAGTACATTGTATGTAACTATTCACTTAGGTCTTGTTTATCATATGATATGTGTGGGTTTAAACTTATATATATATATATATATATATATATATATTAATGTTGTGATTTTTACTTCATTCTGTTTTACATCTTAAAATCCATCATCAAAAATTCTTAATATTGATGATGAAATTTGATATTTCTTTAATCTTTACAACCAACAAATTTGAAGCAAAATTTATGCAATGCAGTTGTTGGAGCTTTAAGTAGGTATAGAATTTCAGTTAGACATTTTCAAAAAATAACTCAGATTATAAATTGAGGTTGTTATAAAGTGTTGCAAAAATTAGAAGCCATCTGATAAAGTTTAATAATAAAGATTATAATTTTTAACATTTCAAAAATAAATAAATATATTAAATAAAAGAACAAGTTAAAAAATTTAAAACATTTGATATAAAAAAATATTTATATATATATATATATATATGTATTTTACTATTTTTAATAGAATATCACATTGAAATTGATAAATATATCTTTAAAAACTTATTTATTATTATAATTACATTATACTAAGCACTATCAACTAAATATGAATAAAATGTAAAAAAAAAATCACTAGTACATTTTATATTTTTAGATTTTTACAACACATCTGTTTAAATTTGTTTTAATATATTTAAAAAATTAATAATGTTACATCATCAATTGATATTGCTTCACTCCATATGAATTTATTAATATGCCTCTTTTTTTGTGCATTTTATTTATTTCTTTGCTTTAAGAAATAATTTGACTAATATTCTTTACTTAAATGCCAATTGCAACTTAACTATTATTTTAGACTCCTTCCATTTATGAGTTGCACATCTTCAAACTACTAGGACAAATACAAATATTATGCCTAACTTGACCACATCTCCTACATTTTATATGTTTAACTTTACTACCCTCTACAATCTCAAACAATAAAGAATCTTGTAGCATAGATGATGTTGATACACAATTCAAACCTCTAGTAGGATTTTTTCTTGGTTGCTAAGGAATGAAGTTATTTGGAGCATAAAAGTATTTTGATACCAATTAGATCAATATTTCTTATGTTGTGTTTTGTTGATCTGGACCCAAACAAGAATAGATGTCAGTAAGCAATGCATGAATTAAAGTGATTGCATGCACATTATTTGTCAAATAAAGATTAAAAATTAAAAGAAGAAGCAAAGACTCTAGTTGCCATTGAGATGTTATTGCTACTTTTATGCTCCATCTTTTATTCTCATATTCTTTCCAATAATAGAAATAAATAGAAGAACTTAAAGTTTAAGAAGGTAAGTAAGAAGGTTGTTATTTTTGTATTAAAGTCCATAGTTGAGAGAGGCATTGATGAAATGAGAGAATGAGAATGAACTAAAAAAATAAAATAATGACCTAAAAAAAGAAGTAAAAATAAGCTAAAAAATAGGAAAGAAAACAAGATGGAGAATAGTAAAAAGAATAAGCAAAGACAAAAAGTAAGATTAAATAAAAAAATAAGATGAAGATAAAACAAATAAGAAAGAATTAGACATAATTTAATAAGAAGTGGCAGATATGTGGAATTATAATGCAACATAGTTCTTTCTTTTAGTTGCTAATAAAATTTATTTAAAGATTTTATTAGTGACATCTAATAATTTATACTTTTTATAATTATATTTTTATTAAGAAGGAATCAATAAGCAATATAAAAGTTTGGTTTAAATGTATTAAAGGGAGACAACATAACAAAATTAAAATTGATATGTAACATTAATATATTTGCATAACCAATTGCTTTCTTAAAGCTATTGCATAATTTAATATTAGGAATGTAGTGATCTATGCCAAAGTGTATTGTTAAACATAGAGCCACCATAAGTATGTCATTTGAGTCTTCAATCTTAGAAGGTACTATAAAAAGAATCTTAGAAGGAAGTCTCGAAGGTCTTTGACTTTTTATTTAAGTCCTATTATATTTAAGTACTTTAAAATCCTAAAAAGACTCATATTTTTTAAATTGAGTCTTTGGAAGAAGAATTTAGGTGCTTAACTTCTTTTATTGTAGATTATCACACTTTCATAGTGTTTATATGTAACTTGACTTATTGTATGTATTGTAGATTTTTTGTACTTTATTGGAATTTTTTCCTCTTATTTATTACTTGAAAAAGATTCTATAATGTGTCTAATACAAGCATAGTAGATTTATGCACTTAGTTTAGTCAAAAACTTGAATCTTGGTGTATTTTGTGGAAGTTAATGAATATTGGAATTACAAGGGTTTTGAGTTCAATGGCACCATAGTTTTCATTTGCTTACTAAAAGATGTAGGAAATATGTTTAAATGTCCTATATAGGAGACTTATCATCTTTCATCTAAAGTTGATTAATTGTTTCTAAATTATATAGATCTCATTTACAATTTTTTTTTTCATCTAATTGATATAGCTCATCTTCATATAGAGAAGTCTACATGGAGTATACATGGACTTATAGAAGTGAATGTGTGCATAAAAAATATTTTGTAATTTTTTATATAAGGTGGTCATAAGAGTGTTTAAGAAACCTATTATTAAACTTCAAAGGTACAAGAGAGTCATCTATAATTGTGGTAATTATAGCATTCAAAAAGAGAGGCTAGAATATGATTGAGTTTGGCTCTTAGGATAAAAAGATTGTATGTAGAAAAAAGCATTTAGTAGTCAACATTCATTTTTAAGCATACAAACATTGTTAAAAAGAGTTGGTGGAATATTATTAATGCTCTTAGATTCAACTTGATTATTCTTTCCAAATGTTGAATTAATTTCACTATATATATGTGATAAGGTGAAGAAGTAGCTTTAGATCAATCCTAGTAGTATTTGTTGGCGGATTGGATTCAATGGTAGATTACCTTTTTGATGAAGATAGTTCAATTGGACTTGCTTATTTCTATTTTTGTCAAAAACTTAAAAGAAATTACTTCTATTCAAAGGCTGAAATATAGTTGTAGGTATTGTAAAGATAATAACAACAACAAAAAGCAAGCAAATCAATAATATTAAATGATTAAGAGTTAAGAAGGAGGAGGCATAGCTAGAGCATTATTTTTTGGGATGTTATGTTGGGTAGGATTTTTTTTATTGTATAAGCATTTAGATAAGTATTAGGTTCATATTCCAAGAATTAATATTTAGAACATATCATTATAAAAGAGCATTGCAAAAGATCATGGAGAAGATCATGAAGAGAAGGATACATTAGATATGCTTAAGAATGCAAGTATAGCAATTGAAATGAATTTGCAATTGAGTTGGTAATGTTGGTGATATTTGTGTTATTTGGAATATAAGTGAATAGGAGTGGTTGGAAGCCGGCATAGATAGAAAGAAGGTTGTAGAAAATTTAAAAACAATGACGTCACTTTTTTGTGCCAATATCAATTTTGGTAACAATTTCAACAAGAAAAGTAGATTACTAGGTCTCAAGTCCAAATTGACATTCCTAATTTAGGTCCAAGTTCCAAATCTAAATTCAAAGATTAAAATCTAGATTTAGATTCTAATAACCAAATTCAAATCTAGATTTCTTAATCCGAATCAATCATTAAATATCATTAGGATAGAATAATCAATAATTATAAGTAGTTAAAGCGATTGGCACAATAGGTCATGAATATAATATGATTAGTAATCAAAGGTCAACTTAAAGATAATGATTAGTGATCACAAGTACAAAAGTTAATCAATGACTACTTATCAAGACAAGACATTGATTGCTCATCTCAGCTTATGTTTATGATATAAATAATCTTCTACTTGATTTTTAATTGATTATATATATATATATATATATATTGTCTTTTTTTAGCTATTCTTTACACTACTTTTTCTATCAATTTATTTTGTATAAAAAAATATTTATTTATATAATTTGTAGTATTTCATTTTAATTTTAATTTTATGAGACAAGTAATGGCAACCATAGGACCTATTATAAAACCGATTGTTACATAAAGTTATAATTTTGTATCATTTATATTGTATATTAATATCTAAGTTTTAGTTAAAACCACATTAAAATACAAATTTTGGAATACATGGCATGGAATTGTAAAGTGCATGGCATAGAGCTTTAAAATGCATAGCATAGAACTATAGAATACTTTGAGTGGAGAGTGAAGGTAAATTCTACAAAGATGCAAAATTTTGATGAGTCTTTCAAACCACTCACTTGTAGATATGTAATGCATAGCAAGGCTTTACTTTGGCCATATGAGGTTTATTAAAGTAAGGTGGCTTTAGTTAAATTATCAATTGGTGGAAGAAATCATTGGAATTTGGCAACATATTGGAAGCCATAGAATATTGGCATATATATTAGAAATCAAAGAATTTTTATAAAAAATTAAAAATCAATAGAATTTTAGTTAATGAACCATGGTGGTTTATTAAGAGGGTCTTGGAGGTCTCTGACTTTCTATTCAATTCTTATTATATTTAAGTATCCCAAAATCCTAAAAATACTCATTTTTTTCAAATTAAACTTCAAAATTAGGAATTCGACTATTTAGCTTTTATTATTGTAGTTTAAAATATTTTTATAGTATTTATATATGACTTGACTTATTATATTTATTGTGGAGTTTTTATATTTCATTGGAATTTTTTCCACTTATTTATCATTTAATTGGTTGTGGCTTTGCTAAAAACATATGTATATTTAAAATTACTTATATATATATATATATATATATATATATTGATGATATATATGTGTGATTATTTTTCATACTTTTTAATTATAATATGTGTTGAGATATAACTCAAATCAATCTTGAATTGGTGCTATGTGGTGTGTTAGTCAATATTACTACCTGTAAATTAGAGATACATATTTATTATTATTATAAATATAATTGTGCAAATATAGTTTATATAATTTTAAACCACACAATATAATATGCATACAATGTATTGGTGTATGACAATAATAAAACATCAAAGAAGTGGCTATTTTCAATAAAATTGATATATTCAATCATATGTAGACAACAAATATATTTGCATATGCTATAATATATCACCTCAATCTATGTATGCATATAAACTTTTAAAGTCTTTTAAGCCAACTATGATGTTGACTTCTATTAAGACCAATTATAATGAATTTAGATGCACATAAGCTGCAAAAACTAGGCAAGCTATGATGTTGACTTCTATTCAGCAAGAAAATGCAAACGTGGTAGTTATTTCAACAAACACATATGATGAATGTGCAACTTTGCAATATTAAAGACTACAAGCCTATATTCCCATTATTTCATTCTTTAATAAAATACAAGTCTCTGACTATTAATTTAATTATACATAATACATCAATTTTTTTTTTTCATGCAATTCTTCTTTACACATCTATCTACAATTTGCTTTACTTGTAATTATTTTTATATCTTCTTATTAGATTATACCTACAAGATCAATGAATTTTATATACCTTTATTGCATATTATAGATATGACATTAATGAATTCTATATTTTCTTTTTGATTTTATTTTTTGAAAGAAGAAAAAGAAAAAAATTACATTTAGAATCTTGAACAAGCATAAAACTTTTTTTCTAATAGAATCATACTAAAGACTTTTGTAACTGGCTGCAAACTTACATTCATATTTGCATTGCTATCCATTTTTTTCTTATTTGCAAATCTATTTTATATGTGCCACATCAAGAAAAAAAATCTAGTGTATTGTAAATGTAATTTTTTACATGAAAAATGGAAAATCTTCTTTGAAGAATAGAATCAAGTCATATAAAATTATACAATAGAAGCATTTGACAATAGTTGAAAAAGATTCATCACAAAGTACAATATTGGTCACTTGACTGTTGTTACTTAAATTTCCCCAACCTAAGTGTCTTTAAAGGAGTACTTTGATACATCTTTGTCTTTTCAACATCTCAACTTTGGCAACATCAATACTTTTTACATAAAAAAAAATCACTTGATATCGAAACAATGGCTTTAATATTGATGCTTGATTTTTATGATGTTTATTATTAGATCATCATATATTTTGAATACCAAGAAAGGTAATTAATGGCAAAGATTAGAGATGAGAAGACATAATTTTTGTTAGATATTTGTGAAAATTTTTATGATGTAGTCGTAAAGAATATATTATATTTTAAATTGTTGACGATCCATGTTTTATAGTCTATGAAAATAGGATAAATAGAAGTATGTTTTAAATATTTTACTACCTTATTTGGAATGCCTTGCAAGCATGTAAAGTTGATGTATCTTACAAGAGATGGTATATTATATATTGGAAATTTCTATCTTTAATAGCACATTAATTCTTTGTCTCTTCTATTCATTATTGTTTTTTTTTATAAAAAAAAAAGTACTTAAAATTACTTTGATTTCAACATTGCTTATTGATACCTATTCTAATTTAGGTCCATATCAATAAATTGCAATATAAAAAGTATTGTTTAAATTTACATTACAATGATTTCATGTTCTAAATAATTTGATTCTTCAATGACTAAGAAGATGTATTTCAAAAACTTTAAATCATATACTAGCATCATCTATGCATTTAGATCCTTTACTATTTGAAGTTGTCAAGGATATGAATCTTGAGGAAAGAAAATCCTTAATACACTCTTGTATCAGTGAAAGAAATTGAAAAGTCACTCAAAGATGATATAATATTGAACTAAAATAGCTATTGCTAAAAACAAGAAGAATAGAAAGTCTTCAAACAAGACTAAGGACTAAAAACCCATTGATAAGAGTGAAGAAGGCTTCATTCTTGCCTCTATATATGCTATCTAACTAAGAGCTACATGGCAATATTCTATAGGACCTCCAATATGTGTTGGCTTTGCTAACCACATGTCTTAACTTGCAAGGCAAGTTATCTATGTATGCGCCACATAGTTAGCTTGTCTTACAAGCTATTACACGGAGATAACTTGTTTTACAAGCTACCAATATGTGGTTAACTTGTTGGCCAAGTTCTTAACCTACAAACATATCTAAAGTCAAAACCACATCTATGAAGCTTCTAGGAAGCTACTCTAGAAGATTTTATGAAATTAATCTATATTTACCTACTTCTATTTAATCATATAAGTAATTATTGGAATAAATATATATGTCTATAATAAAAGTTGTGGAATGTAATAAGACAAAGAAAATGTATAAGATATGGTCTAGTTGGATATAATATTAGTACTTGTTTAAATAATTTGAAGATGAATCATTCACAAATAGAAGGTTTTCAATATAATAAAGCTGCAATTAATAATAAATTAGAAAATATTAATTAATTTATTTTTTAAAATACAAAAAGAAAATAATATAAGTTGTTATGTTGAAATACATCTATATGATAAAAATATAATTAAAAATAATTTTTAAACTATTATCTAATGATTTTGATTTTATAATAATTCACAACATTTAAACATGGCTTTTATAAGAGTTTTTAAATTAATTTTCTTGTCTTAATAGCTAGTAGATTGAAGATTGGTTAATAGTTTTATCTTCTAGGATGTAGAAATTCTTTTAATCTATTAGGAAGGCCATAAATTGACAAAAATAAGATAGAAGAGATAAATAATTAATACGATTGGTACTAGGATTAAATTGAAGATAGGATCAAGCTAAAAAATCTCCTAAGATAGATTGGATTGATACCTAAGGGTTGATTATTTATGGAACAAGGTCAAAAACATACTTTTAGCTACTAAAATAGCTGCTTAGGATAAAATATGGAGGTATATAGAAGTATTTGGAGATTAGTGACTGAGATTGGAGAGCTAGCTTTAAGCTTGTTTAGAAAGCAGAAGGCTTGTTTTCATAGGATTTGAGATGACTTTGCAATCATTGTTTAAAGTTAGAATTTGTATTAGTGATTTATGTATTACAATTAGGGTTAATACTCTTTGCATAATTAGAAGATATCTAATTTTTGGTACAAAAAAGTATTGGAAATTGGTAGTTTGGGGTGAGATAGGATTTCTATGATATCTGTAGATTTATTAGTTGAAACAAGGTGAAATTTGGCATGGTATTAGAAGACTTGAAAATTAAGCTATATATCAATTTTGACTTAAAGTTAAGAATTAGAAAAGGAGAAATTGCTATTGGAACATGTACATCAACTTTCAAGTTGGTGGCCAAGTGACATTAATTTTTTTTTTTTTTTTTTTTTTTTTTTTTTTTTTTATCCTTTTTTACAACTTGTAAGTTGGAATGGATTGATTTTTTTTTAAGCATATTGCAAACTTATAGTGACATTTGTATGCAAATTTTTTGCCTCAAGTAGATGGTCAGATTAGGAGTTACAACTTCGTGAAGCTCATTGATTAGGATTATGGCTTATAAAATAAATCAAAATTGCCTAATTATGAAAGTAATAAGGCAATTGGAATGTGAATATGGTTGAAGTTACTTAAAAGAGTGTTTTTGAGAACTTTGTATTGACTTTAAGTACTTTTGAATTAAAATTCAAATTGCATTCTTCTTACATGGATAAAATCTATTAGGGTTTCTTATATACTTGTAAAATACAACTTTACCTTCTACAACCAAGTACATAGTGCATTTCCAAACAACACATAATACAACAATAAGGAGTATAATAATATTAGTTGGAGATGTAGCATTAATAATTCTCTAAAATTGATTGAATATTAGTAATTATACAAAATTATGTTAACTTTCAAATTTTGTTAATTTGCCACTCAATTGCCCCTAATACATTGGTACCGATAGAGAGAGAGAGAGATGTATTTGCTAATTTAATACATTTGAAAACATGCATCCAAACTCTTGAAAATTTGGCAAAAACAATTGCACATTAAAAAACGCACATAATATGTGATATTACATTACATTTGATAATATCAGCAACTAAGAGTGTGAAGAATTTATTTTAGATTGGAATAGTTTTCTGAAGGACCTACAGGCACTTGGAGGGTCGAACATGTATATGATGACCAACCACAACATATTCAGAGCAGAAATGTTTTACTTCCTGCCTGTAATTCCGACGGTAATTCACTCCATATTTTTGCAGGTTCAACAAGAGATAGACTCGCCAAGTAGCTGCTGCTCAATTTTGGCTCGAACTGGTGCCAAATCACCATATTGAGCATGGAGCTCGTCACTGCCCGCTTTTGCTTGAAGATGGCACTGAAAGGCGTTCTCCCCGCTTGCCTGCTTTAATACAGAAGCCATTGGTACAAACGTGCCTTGTTCTTGGCAAATCCATCCATGCGCGGCTCGGAGGGCTGCCCCCAATGCTGCTGAATCTACATAAAGTCCGGTGAACATTGTAAAGCAGATCAGCTGCGCCAGAATGCTTTTCCAAAGAAATAAAACTGAAAGCGTCACAAGTTTTACAACATTATGTCGGCATTCTGCGGTGCAAAGTGGATAATGACCTTGTGATCAATTTGGGTCATTAAGACTCGAGAAGACGAAGTTTACGTACCTGGGCGTTGTGCAGTGTAAACACTGCATCCAAAAATGGAGGCAATTAATGCAAGCAGATGTTTGTTTGCGGAGCCTCCACCAGTGGCGATAATACGCTCAGGTGGGCACTGCATTCCAATTCTTTCAGCGTGTATTCTCATGGAGAGGATTTGACCTTCCACAATAGCTCGGACCTACAAAGAAAGAAGTACTACAACGACTTAGCAATACAGCCATGTACATAAATATTTATAGTTTGAGGGTAGCAGACAGAAAAATCCATTTTGTATCATTTGTTTGCTAACCTCTGCAGCGGGGTCGAATTTAGGAACCTTCTGAACATTAAGATTGTCGAAGGCGTTTCCATCACCGCGCCCAAGAATAAAATGATGGTAGCCAACTGTAAATACAGCACACATTTTTGGAATCGGTATGCGAGAGTCTGAATCTTGTGGACTAAATTCAGGAGTCTCTACACCAGCTTGTGAAAACGAAGAAAACTGTGAAGGAAAAAAAATAATAATGAGGGTGTGAGCTTCACCTGGTAGTGGAGGCAAAATTTCGGCTTCCTTGTAGTAAAACCCCATTTTACCCTCTGCATCACAACATTCACCGGCCTTATTGACATGATGTGGTTTTCAATGGCCAAGTAAATAAAGAAGAGAGACATCCACTCACCGTTTAGCGGAGGCGTCTCTTCTAGAAGTGAATTGAACTTCTCCCACGATCTATCCGCACACTCATTCCGTATATCTGCACAACTAACGCTTTTCATCATTTGGATAAACATGAAGAGGAGGGCTAGAGTCTCTTTGAAGAAAACAAAGAGCAGACATGAACAACAGAGACGGCTGTCCGGTAAGTTTTCGTTACTGGACAAAGATTGCAGTACAACAGATACATGACTGTAACTACCTAAACTCTGGTTTGACCACTCGAGAAACAGAACATAAATCTTCACCTTCTCTTGTAAGTGATCCGTTTTTGTAGCACAACATAACCATGAAACTCTCGGGATCGACAGGGTTGGGAAATACGTGTCCCTCCAAACTAGGTTGGGGGGTTCTTGTCAAACCAAAGACCTGCAGTCGACCGCAACTTCTGTAAAGGCAAGGACACTTCGCAAAACAAGTTTAATTCATTGATGGATAAGTCATGTGCTACATTGCACAGCAGGACTACTACATATGCTGGATGAGTACACTTACTGTGTCACTAGTACCCATGCTGATTGCAAGGTCACCAGGCCGGTTTAGGGCCAACCCTGCGGTCATGTACAACCAATTATCGTGAGACTCAAGAATTACACTAGCTTGCGCATAGAATATTGCAGAAGTCATTGGTAATCTAGTTCTATATCAACCTGCACAAACATTCTGATAGCTTCAAGAGGTCGAAGTTAAAACTCAACCAAGGGTGCGATGAGGTTTTCACCAACCTGCCAAGCTGCAGGGATTGTCTCCAGACCAATTTACAACCAGACATTTTGGGTTGAAGTGAAATCTGCAGGTCGAAGAACATCAGAATGATTACCATCTTTGCTTCAAAAATTCAGCCGATAAGAACTGGCAGATAAATAACCAGCTGCAGTAGATGGTGAGATCATGAGATAGGAGGGTTAATCAGACCATAACGTTTCAGCATAGAAAATTCAAAATTCAACAAGGTATCCAGAAACTTTTACCGTTGAACAAAGTATGAATGCAGTTTTCCTGCAATTGCATGAGAAGGAGCCAAGGGTCCTAGCTTCTTCTCCAACCCTGGTGCTGTTGCCTGTCACATCACGTGGAATAATTCAACATTCTAGTGTGGCTGATCAAGCATTCTAATCTTGTTAAGATTTAAAGATGCGCGATAATAACACACGGTCAGGTTTATAATATACACAAAAAAGGTATATAAGGAGCGGAGGACTTACATCCAATGCATCTGGGGACCAAGTACGGCTGTGAAGGTCCATAAGGTTCATACCAGCACCGTCGCTATGATCAATGGATGCGTAGTTACCGACCAGTAGAGATGCCATAAAGGAACTCACAAGAGACACTCTCTCCGTTGCATGATATGTTTCTTTCTGTGTCTCATACACCTTGCGAACTTGCGGCCCAGTAAATCTTTCAAAAGCTCGAGAGCCTACACACCATTACGCAACAGCAGCTCGACAATTCTCCTATAATATGAACACAACCTCATATACATATATTCCACCGAAAAGACCTTCTCATCTTAACCCCCAGGTAAATAGTGAACTGAACTACCTTGATTCTTTGCCTTCCATGAAACCCCACATTGAACAGGTTTACAAGGATATGTATACCTGTCAAAGCAGTGAGCTTGGCAGCACCGCCGACAGCCTTCTCGATCGCAGAGCACTGTGCCGATGTGCTACTATCCATCCACACAGGAGAATCCTTAATCGAAAACGCCTCTTGGAGTTGCGTTACGAGATCCTTCGAAGGGTCCAGGTTCTTAAGGTGTAACTGTTGTGCTCCTTTAGTCCAGTACACACTACCGTGCTGTTGGCCACTGCCAGATATGGCATTCACTTTGTTGAAGGGAAAATTAGCCCTCACCATTTTAGTGAGCACGAGGTCGAGGGCCTCCACCCACATAAGTACGGGGCCTGTGATACGCCCTTTAACTGCAATGATCATAGAAGTATTGCAAATCGTTACAGAATCTAGGAAACCCTAGATCAAGATATATATGAATACCTTGGCGCCTACGTCCATATAATTTTATTTTTCGTTGTTGTTTCATAGCCCACAGATGTGGAGTCTCACCTTTGGGATCTCTATGGACACCATCTTTAGTGCCGTAGTGCGGAAGCTCTGAGTCAAAGTGAACTGATGCAGAAGCAATCAAACGTAACTCTGCGTCAATAGCTGTGATCTTGAGTGATCTGCAAACATATAGATGAAGAAGTACCAAAAATTTATTACATGGCTTCCTCTTCTCAATTCCGCTGGCTGAATATTGAAACATAAGCAACGCCAATGAAGACTAGCGCACCTGATTGGATATGTTTCTAACTGATTCTCTGTGGTTTACTTTCTCGGCCGGAAAACGTCATCAATATGCTCGACTGTTATGAAGTTAGAGGAGTTTAGCTTCACCAAGAGTACACTTGACAATTAAGGTAGAGTTTTAGTTCCCTGAAACAGCATCCTCATCTCAAGGCAAAGCTAATAGCCAGGACCTAGACGGGTGGCAATAATGAGTAGAGAACTGACTGGGTGGAGCTGTCGAGGCCTAGAAACAAAGCATCTGATGGGAGAGACCCCATTTTGGCCAACAGGCTGATTGCGCTGTAATCGCCCGATTCAAAGCACAAAAAAATCCTAGAGAGGAATTTTGTAGTGATCTACGAATTGCTGTCGACTTTGCACTATCCCGCTCCTCGACCTACTTTCAATTGGAGGCCCTGGAAGCTGTATCCTCTTTGTCTGGTAGAGTAATTCTGCACCACATCCGCAAATTTCGATATCAGAAATTAAAATGTTAATTAGTGTCGAAAAGAGCAGCAATCGCCAAATTCACCATCAATTCATCAAGCGGTAAACTGACCTCTCAAGGAGAATTGACCTCGGAGCCTCTAACAGTGCATACATTGTCTAGCAAACTAATCATACATACCACATGGTAACAAAAGTCTAAGGACGACTTGAGACGACAGACACAAATCGCAGCAGTGCCCACAAACCCAAGAGAAACAAGACAAACTCACAACTAATCGGAACCGTGTGGAGGTGCCGATTGATGAAATTACTCAAAACATCCAAATACAATGACCCAGAAAGCAATGTTGCCATATGACAATGCGGGCAACGGCATTGAATATCTATTGAATACAGCCAACACTTCCCAAACTTCGTAACACTAAAGACAAAGCCCTGGTTCCAAGCTCAAATCCAATTGAGTTAGAGGAAATCCAACCCAAAAAAGAAAACTCGCGCAAAATTACAACACATAAATCTCAGTGTTCAGGGATCCAGAACACGCACTTAACGAAAGCCCTGAGAAGAGCGGTCGAGAAATGTGAGCTCAATCGCTCAGGAACTGCATGCTGTGAACGAGACAGCCTGCAGGAATCTCTCCACAAACGTCAAATCAGAAACCAGCCTCGTCCACAACAACAACAAACTAGAAGAGGTCATTCCACAATAGCTTCTGACCATATATGGCTTACTAGAAGGCATGAATATGTAGGTTTCATCACCCACCAGAAGATGTACTGTTAGAGGCTCCGAGGTCAAATGTGGAACAAAACTAGAGACAACTACGATTGACTTACCGGTTTGACTCACACTTACATCAAGTGTGAAGTGAAACTCTTATTCTGGGACAAGGGAAGATCTAGTGATCACATTCATAAAATAAGTCCTAATTAAGTGTATTATAAAACCTATTTCATCCCTCTCTCTATTGTGGTTGTCCAATAATTTTGGCTTTAGATAGGTGGAGTTAGATCATATTGTGAAGATGCTGAGCTCACTTCTTGCTACAACAAGAAGTTTTGTGCTTTGTTATCATACTTTGTTCTTCATATTTTACCATTTTGTCATTTTTTTAATTTGTTTAGTTTATATGAAATCAAAATTAATTGAAATTATTAGTTCTTCTATTTACTCAATTTCAATATGTTTATTTTAGTGGTTTAAATATAGATTTATGAAAAAAGATTACAATCAATGTATTTTGAGGTATAAACAAAAATAATAAAAATTGATGAGAAGTAAAAATATTAGATTGAGTATCATTCATAAGAATTTAAAAATGTATCAATAAAAATATTTATAACATTATCTACATTTTGATTTTAATATTGATATTATATTTTATTTATATATATAATGCAAGTTTAAATTATTTAAGAAAAAAATTATTATATTTTATAGAATTTTAAAAAGTTAAAAAAATTAAAAAATATAATAATTTAATATTATCAAAAAATATTATATATTATGACAATATAATAATTTTTATTTAATATTTGAATATATAAAATTTAATTTAGATTAAACTAATTTTAATTTTTAATTTTTTTAATTTTTTAATTTTTTAATAATGATTAAAAACTTCTTATTTATAATAGTAGGTATATTATTTATTTAAAAATAAATATCAAATATGTGTGATGGATATATACATTTATTTCAATAGTTACTTATATGATTAGATAGAAGTAGGTAAATATAGTTTAATTTCATAAAGTCTTCTAGGATAGCTTCATAAAAGCTTCATATACGCAGTTTTGACTTAAGATGTGTTTGTAGGTCAGAAACTTGGCCAACAAGTTAACCACGTATTAGTAGCTTATAGAACAAGGTAACTATGTGGCGCATACATAGATATCTTGTCTTGCAAGTTAAGACATGTGATTAGCAAAGTCAACACGTTTTAGAAGACCTATAGGACATTGCCATGTAGTTCTTAGTTAAGAGTATATATGGAGGCAAGAGTGAAGCCTTTTTCTTTCTTATCAATTCCTTTCTAGTCCTTAGTCTTGTTTGAAGACTTTCTAGTCTTCTTGTTTTTGGCAATAGCCATTCCAATTGAATATTATATCATCTTTGAGTGACTTTCTAGTTCCTTTCAATGACACAAGACTATATTAAGGATTTTCTTTCTCGAAGATTCATGTCCTTGATAGTTTGTCAAGAATGTTAACATATTATTTTTGTCTTGTTTTAGAAGTGAGTGAATCACCTCACTTCTATTGTTGTATTTTGAAGGTTCTGGACTACCCATCTTTAAATAAAATATCTTGTTTTCTAACTTTGATCTTTTTTATAAAGAGAGTGAATTATCCATTTTTATAGAAATTTTTATTAGATGTTACAAATTACTATCCTCTCATTTAACTTTTTGAATTTATTTGAGTTGTCTATGGAAAGAAAGATTATGGATGCTACTCATAGCAAAAGTGAAAATAGATTTGTAACTATTGTGGATCTTCACAAGCTTATCAACACTCTTAAGACGAAAATTTCACACATCACTAATATCAACCATGAAAATACTACTTCTATATCTATAGAAGAAGTCCAAAATCTATGTTAAGAAGTTGTACAATTGAAGAAAACATGTCAATTAGCCTTACAACCAAATTCAAGGAGTCTTGCTTTTATAAGTTCAATAGAGACAAGAATTAGTATGTTCGAGAAGTTTGATGGAACAAGATCAAAATTTTGAAGATTTTTACAACAAGTTAAGCTCTAATTAAGATTACATTCTTTCTAATACACGAATAGATTTACTCAAGTTGACTTCATAGGTGCATTTCTATCTGAAAGTGCACTTTCTAAGTTTACACCTTTGATGGAAAAGGATTCACGACTTCTTTATGATTTAAATTCATTCTTAAAAGTGTTTATAGCTACATGTAGAAAAGGTGATTAAAAATGAGTAGCAGAGATCAAACTCTTATCTTTACGACAAAGAACACAATCAACTACTAGATATCTTGCTGAATTCTAAAATCTTGCTTGTAACATGGATTGAAATGACAAAGCACTTATTAATCAATTTTAATATGGGTTGAAAAATAGCATCAAAGATTTGTTATCAACAATGCCAAAAGTAAAATCTTTGAAATAATATATTACTTAAGCCATAGCATGTTTGTCAAGGACAAGAACTCGATGAAAAAACAATTCAAACAAGTGAGCATTCACTCAAAGAGAGGTAACAAAATATATATAAACAAGTATATATATTGAAAGAGAAACTGGAATGGCTATTGCCAAAAGACAAGCAAACTAGAGACCCTTGAAACAGACTAGAAGCAAGAAAGGAGTTGACAAGAGTGAAGAAGCCTTCACTCTTGTCTCTATATATACTATCTAACTAAGAGCTATGTGGCGACATTCTATAGGACCTCCAATATGTATTGACTTTGTAGGACACATGACTTGACTTACAAGGCAAGTTTTTCTACGTGTGGGCCACATAGTTAGCTTGATCTTTAAGCTAACAACATGTGTGGCACATGGCCAACTTGTTGACCACGTTTCTAATCCAAAAAGTCAATTAAAGACACCTATGAAGTCAAAGCAGCGTCTAGGAAGTTTCTAGGAAGCTTTCATATTAAATATTATAGAATTAACTTATTTTTACCTACTTTTATTTACTTCTACCTATTTCTATATGTAATTATTAGCTTACATGATTATGGCCGTGATATTTCCCCCCCTTCTAGGGACGAGTTTCACGAGGAGCGGTCATCATATGTTGAGGAAATCTATGATGCGATGAATTGTATTTACCACATACTTTGATCTCTGTTCTCTTCGAAGATGATTGATAGGGCCTCTCAACCATCGGTAGTGTCCCATACCAGGTCGGGAAGACCACCCAGTTATTTGATCATTGTTGAGGCCTTCGTAACTTCCTTCGAATAGAATATTTGGAATACCATCAGGAGTTGTTCCTACCTCTAGCAAAATCACCAAACATCGGGAGTCCCTTCCCAAATCGTGATACCAAACGCGTTGTATCTCACCATCTATTCGAGGAAAAACATGTCGTTCTTGAAGATCTTCATCTCGATTGCGTCGTCTTGAAGGTTGTGACAATCGTAATGTCTCATCCGGCAGGTCAGCAAATGAAGGCTCTTGAGTTAAATCCGTTGGTTGCTGGTTCTCCATCTCCTGAGCGCCACTACTACAACGAAGCTACGAACAAGAATTGAAAGTAGAATGTTATCTTGCCTAGATGTTGTTTCTTTTATAAAAAACGTTTTCATCTTGATTTTGATAGATGTCGTCGATGAAAAGCCTCCACCGCCTTTGCTGCATTTGCAAGATTCTTCATTGGCTTCCATGTACGTTCACTAATATCATATCCGCGCCAATGGACAAGATATTCTATTTTATTTCGACGCCGCCTTGAATCTAAGACTTCTTCTACTTCAAATTCTTCATTATTGTCCACTTCTATAGGAGGAGGTGGAGCTTGTCATCTTCTTGGTATGTCCACTGTCTTGTATGATTCAAGAAGAGACACGTGGAATACTAGATGGATTTTCATTGTCTTCGGTAGATATAAACGATATGCAACTGGATTGATTTGTGCAGAAATAGAAAATGGTTCCAGCCTTCGATAGTCCAACTTGTCGCAAGGACGAGTGGTCTTGATATTACGACGAAGTAGCCATACCTTATCACCCACGTTGAGTTGTGGTTGCTCCTTACGATATACATTTGCGTTTATCTTTTGTCGTTCTTTAGCTTCCTTCAATTGCACCTTCATTATTGCATGTAACTCTGACAACCGATTTGCCATATCTTCTGCTGCAGGATTATCAACTTTTGAAAAATCAAAAGCATCAAGTCGTGGATGATAGCCATAATTGGCAAAGAAAGGTGTTTGTTGCGTGGAGGAATGTACCGTATTATTATAAGCAAACTCTGCCAATGGCAGAAGGGTTGTCCAATCATCTTGTTGGTAGTTGATGGTACACCTTAAATACTGCTCCAAGATTTGGTTTACGCGCTCTGTTTGTCCATCAGTTTGAGGATGGAAAGCGGAAGATAGCTTTATGTCCACTTTTAAAATCTTGAAAAGAGTCCTCCAAAATCTCGACACAAATTGAGTTCCCCTATCCGATATGATATCTTTAGGTAATCCATGATAGCGATAGATATTATCAATGAAAAGCTTGGCTGTTTCTTCACCTGTGATAGATTTTGTACATGGCACAAAATGTGCCATCTTGGTGAAACGATCTACTATCACAAATATAGAATCATAAGATCTTGAGCTTGGAAGATCTGTGATGAAATCCATAGAAACAGAAGACCATGGTTGTTCTGGTATAGGTAATGGCTGAAGAAGTCCATAAGGTCGATGACGAGGAGTTTTTGATCTTGAACAAATATTACATGATTGTACAAAGTCTTTGACTGACTTCCACATTTGTGGCCACCAAAAATCTCTTGATATGAGTTCCAAAGTCTTATTATATCCAAAGTGTCTTGCTGCTGGAAAATCATGACGTGCTTGAAGAACACGTAAACGTGCTTCTCCTTCTGGAACATATAGGCGTCCTTCAAAATATAATAGATTATTCTTGAACTCGAACTTAGAAGAATCATGAGACTTGGAAGAATTATTCTCAATATCATGAACAAGAGGGTCTAAGGACATACTAGACTGGATTTGCTTGAGAAAAGTTGAATCAACAGTCAATGTTGA